TTGAAAGTATTCATGTTGTGTTGGTATCTTAAGTGCTTTGAATACTTCCCTTGAAGATTCTTGATAAACATCCTCACGGATTCTTTTTCGGTAGGAGTCTTGACCATATTAGCAGAAGTTTCCCTCCATTTATTGAAGAAAGAAGTGAACCCTTCGTTTTCTTTTAGTTTTAACAACTCGAGTTGTCTATGGTCTGTTTTGTCTTGGATGTTGCACTTATATCTATCTATGAAAGAATTTTCTATTGTAGGGAATATTTCAAGCGTTAAACCCCTAGCTTGAACCCAACTGTGATCATACACTAAAGTACGGTGGCGTCCAAAAGGGAAGAAGATAGAGCAAAAGAGTCGCCAACAAGTTTTAGGAACTTGTAAACCGTTCACAGGGTGAAGGTTACACCCTTTAACGATCCAAGAGATCGTCAACTCCATAAGGTCTAGAAGCAAATAAGGGTTCGGGGATGAAGGTACAAATCCAACCTAAAAGAGATTGAACCTGCCCTAATAATATGCCTCTACTTTACTCTGATCGTATTCATGTGCGCTTTTCAATTAACATGCAATCAATATGATTAACCCTAAACCTGTTTATCTATGTTGGTTGAATTTAATGCACAAATAAATCTATTATTGGCGATCACTTGAAATTATAATCACATTAACCCTAAACAAGATTATTAATTATCTTATTAAGCGCGATTACAAATACCAATTCCCTTTAAACACGCATAAAAGGTGTGATCAAGCAATAACAATAAATATCAAGCAACATAATATTAAATAAAAATCAATAACAATAATATTAATCATCATCAAAATAATAATAATAACGATCATCACAATAACAATTATAATAAATATTATAATCATAATCATAGCAATCACAATTAATAATAATTATAATAATCATAATAATAATTATAATCATAATTGAAATAACAATCATAATAATTAAATTAATCATGTTAAAGCATAAAAATAATAAGATCCTAGGCATGATACTAACAAGATTAATAACAAGCTCTAGCATGTCACTAAACAACAAAAATCAAATCTTTAGCCCTAACATGATACTAACAATCATAAATGTTAGGAAGAACATAGAAAGCATCGTAACAATCATATTTAATATTAAAGTTACCCTAGACATGATACTAGGAATATCATAATAACAATTTAAACATGATCATGACATCAATTAAAACCATTAAAGCACTTACTTTGATGCCTCGTACCTCTTTCTAATAACAAAATACACACGTTAGTAACTTCAAGGAAAATAATAAACAAAACAATTAAATTAAATAATTGAAATAGAGATTTGGGACCAAACCCTCAGAAATTAAATCTTTCACGGCTAGGGCGAAGGCAACTTCGAATATGGCGAGGTATTTCTAGATCTTGCGAATGCGGAATTTTGTGTATGAAAAGCTATTTTAGAAAAGGAAGAGAGAGATGGGTGAATGAATGAATGAAATAATTAATGATTGCGAATGAAAACTGATTGTAGGTGAATGAAAACGGAGTTTTTACGACGTTATTTATAGAGAAAATCAGCCAAAAGGATAAAATTAACAAAATAGAGTCTGGTTCAAAAAAAACGAGATTGGTGCCAGGCATTGGCCATTGGCGCCAGGCGCCAATGCCTGGCGTTAGGCGCCAATTCTGTTTTTGACGCATTTTCTAAAATCAGATAAATTTTGCCGTACAGGAGGATAAAATCGTATATTTTCCTCAAAAATGCTCTTTGATTTTAATTAAAACATTGAAAAGTCAACAAAAATCAATTTATCAATGCTAATTGAATTAGGAATGAAAAGAACCTTCTAGAAGAATTTAGAAGACTAAAATCATTCCTAATTGCATTAGGAATGATAAATCATATTAGGCCCTCCTCTAGATCATTGGGCCGCACATAAGGCTCAAACCGGGCCCAGTTTAGTAAATTGGCCATAACTTCCTCAATATTCATCGGAATTGGGCTTATAATATATCGTTGGAAATCTCTTGTCAAGCTCCATCCAACTACACTACTATTGGACCCATATCATGGACCAACCAAACTGGATTGGCTGTTTTCTGAAAATAAGTTTTCAAAAACAGAGAGAAGAGAAAAGGAATTAAAACTATCCACAACACTAGACTTTCCACACTTTCACTTCATTCGATTATGATTCGACGCGAAAGGTACTCATCACTGGGTTTAGTTTTGGGGAGACACAAATGGGTGTCTACAGCTATGGACTCCCAAAAAGAGGTTTTTTCTTTCTCGAGAGAAAAGAACCATTGTTGGAAAACAATCTCGAGTGATAGCGAGAACAGAGAGGGGAAAACCTTCTTATCAATACCCCTAATGCTCATTATAGTTTCAAAAGCTCTTAGATGAAATTAAGGGATATCTGTTGCCTTGAATTTAGGGATGTCAGTGGCGTTGAACTTATGCGGAATAAGTTCCTTTTCCAGCGAGACCCCTCATGAACTCATGCCCTGAAATTTATAGTCACTAGATAGCTTCCTCAAACTTTCTTGCACGAGGTTCATTTGTTGTTGCTTCACAGGGTCATCAATTTTGAGGGTTAAAGCCTTTAACACCTCAGTCACGTCATTCAATTGATTCCTAAGTTCATTGACCTCTTCTTGACTTGCCATTATCTTTTTAGCCTTCCTCTTTTGACGAATTGGTTCATCAAAAAGTGAGACTTGAATAAAGAGGTTGTCCTTGATTAATCGCCCTTCTCTCCTCGACCAAGTACTGTGGAAGAGGAATTTGGGGATAACTATCGTTAATTATTTGACTCAAACTTTATTCAACATGCAATGGATGGAGGAAGTGAAGAAAGATTGGAATAGAATGTGAAGAAAGATGATGTAGATGGAAGGATATGGAGAACTAGGAATAGAATGTACCCCCAACTCAAATGACGGAAAAAACGACTCATGCATGAACCTAAGACATGGTCATGGTGACATGTACTCAAAGCGCGTGCTAAGACTAGTGAGTGTAGGTGACATACTTGGACTCGTGTCATGACCATGTGGCTAGACTATGTGACTAGACTCAATTAATGACTCGACAAGGTGTTATTGACAGCGAAATTTAACCGAATTAATTAGCAAACTGGTTAATTAGACACTAGGTGATGACTTGATCAATAATCCAAACTGTCGGCAAAACGACAGGACTGGCGTCGCACTGTGTAGTGTAGCGCCAAACGACAGAGCTGTCGCCAAGCGCTACACTCCACAGAGTGGCGCTACAGTCCAGACTTTGGTGTCAATGCTGGAGCTTCAATCTGAGGCTGTTTTCGGTGTTATCAATCAATAAGAGTATGCCTAAAGTCGTACTAGGTCAATTCTGATTAAAATATTAGACTTTATTGACTCAAATTAATTAATTAATTAATTAGGCAAAGTTCTTTAAGTCATTAATTTATTTAATCTCAATACAAGTCAAACAAACGGTTAAGAAAACATATATATGCACAACAAATAATGCACAATTAGTCAAGTAGGCACAATATGATGCAATGAGTTTGCAACCTAACATGGCTCTAGTTCTCTAAAGTTCGGGATATGGTTTAGTCAATAGAGGGTCCGGATGCACCGCGCGGAAGCCTAACCATGGCGCTACAGCTGGCATTTGGCGCCGATCTGGAAATTCACGTGTTTTCTTAAAATCAGATAAAAATTGCCGTACAGGAGGATAAAATCGTATTTCCCTCAAAAATGCTCTTTGATTTTAATTAAAACTCTGAAAAGTCAACAAAAGTCAATTTATCAATGCTAATTGAATTAGGAATGAAAAGAACCTTCTAGAAGAATCTAGAAGACTAAAACCATTCCTAATTGCATTAGGAATGATAAATCTATATTAGGCCCTCCTCTAGATCATTGGGCCGCATATAAGGCTGAAACCGGGCCCAGTTTAGTAAATTGGCCATAACTTCCTCAATATTCATCGGAATTGGGCTTATAATATATCGTTGGAAAGCTCTTGTCAAGCCCCATCCAACTACACTAATATTGGACCCATATCATGGACCAACCAAACTGGATTGACTGTTTTCTTAAAATAAGTTTTCAAAAACAGAGAAGAGAAAAGAAATTAAAACTATCCGCAACACTAGACTTTCAACACTTTCACTTTATTCGATTATGATTTGACGTGAAAGGTGCTCATCACTGGGTTTGGTTTTGGGGAGACACAAATGGGTTTCTACAATATGCCATAACTAAAGGCCTAACACAAGCATAGGAAACTGAACACTGAAGACAGCAAAACAAGTTCCTATGCGACTCCACTTTGGCCACTAATCAAACTTCCTACGCTTAAAAAAGCTATCGAACTCAGGTGGGACTGGTAATGGCTTCCAACTGAGGCGATCACCAAAAGATAGCCTAGCTCTTGCCTTGTGAGGTAGAGGAGGAGGAAGAGTAGGTGTTGGAATCATGTGCGCATTAGACTTAGGTGTTACGCAGTCGTCCTCGCCTAAAAAAGGAGCTAAGTGCAAAGCACCCTGAACCCCCAGCACACGTTATTTAGCTGCTGAGTAGTTCTCCCTAGCTAAGGAACACTTAATGCCAGCATAAACCCCATCGCCATAGTTCATATCCACTATGTCAAGGTTGTATGCAGTGCGTAGAAAATCTACAACCCTCCTAGCAACATCTTGTTAGGTAGCCTTGGAGTCAGCGCGAACAGTGCTGAAAATGCACTCCATTCCAGTAGCAATTGAAGGAGTGTAAACTGTAAGCCACGAAATAAATTTAGTTGGCCCGAGCTTGAAGGTGTCAACTGCTGAAACACGTGCTTTAGTCTCCACAATCAGAGCGTCCAAGAGATCCATGTAGTCAATGGCCAAAAAAAATTATTTTTTTTTTTGCACCGGTTAACCGGTGCCAAAAGTGCCAATAAATATATATATATATATATATATATTTTCACTTAAAAATTAAATAGATTAAAATACATAAAAACATCAAAACATAACATAAAGCAAATATCGATTAAAACAACATCAATATCATCGAAAATTTGCAATACATAATCAAAAAAAAATTACAACATATAAATACAAAAAAAAATTACAATATAAATTTTAAAAAAATTACAATATAAATAAAAAAGACAAAAACAAAAACCCCATTCATTCTTGTATCTTGCTTCTTCGATCTCAGATCTAAATAATATACCTGCACCGATAAAAAAAAAAAACCCATTAATATAATTAAGCTTCAAACAAAAAACCCAGAATTTAATCCCAAAAATTGAAAAAAAATTCAGACCCGGAAAAAATTGAAATCGCAAAAACCCAGAAAAAAAACTTGAAATTGAAAAAAAATTCAAAATCTGAAAACAACCCCAAAAACGCATGCATGAACCCAAAAAAATGATTATTTTAATCGAAAATTAACCAAGAAAAATCGAAATGCTAGCCATAACCCAGAACTCAATTAATTAACCAAGAAAAATCGAACATAAAATCAAAAATTAACCCAGAACTCGATTAATTAGCCCAAAAAAACGATTATTTTAATCGAAAATTAACCCAAGAAAAATCGAAATAAAATCCGAAAATAGATTTAAATCGATTAATGAAACCCAGATCAATAGAATTAAAATCCAAAAATCGATTTAAATCGATTAATTAAACCCAGAAAAATCCAATTAAACCCAAAACTCAATTAATTAAACCCAGAAATCTCAAAATAAAAAAAAATAAAAAAAATAAACCCAAAAAACACATGCATGTACCCAGAGTCGGTGTTCTTGGTGGTCTTGGGTGTTGGTCTTGGTGGTGGTCTTCACCTCTTCGGTGGTGGCTTTTGGTGGTGGAAACGAGTGAGAAGGGGAGGAGAATCAGGGAAGAACGAAAGAGAAAGAGAAAGAGAGAGAGAAGGAGATGAGATTGAAGGAAACTGATGAGAAACAAGGAGAAAGAAGGGAAACAGAGAAGAGAGATAGAAAGAGGAGAGAGAAAGAGAAGAGGAGCGGCTGAGGAAGTGAGGGAGAGTTAGGGTTTTATTTGGGTTTATATGGTGCGGGTTATTTTTAAAATATATAGATGAACCGGTTTTTTTTTAATGCAGCACCGGTTCAAACCGGCACCGGTTTGAGCTAAGCCGGTGCCATTGCTCTTGGTCAAAAATTCCTCCCATTTTTAGGCAGGTTTTTGCCACCGGTTTGGCTTGAACCGGTGCCTTTTGGGGGTTGCCTTTTTGTATTTTTCTACTAGTGAATAACGAAAAGAAGCCAAACCAACTCATAACAGAATCAGCAAAGCAACATAGTTCACCATAAGGAAATACTTACAGCAGCATCTGCACCTCCACCCATTGCAAGCTCATAACTCTACAATAGAAATGGCAAATACAAAAAGGAATATTCAATACCTTCACCAAAAACTAATCCCTTGAAGACTATCACAATTTTATGATTTATTATTAGTAACCAAAAGCTCAAAACTAGAGTTTAAGCAAAACCCATGTAACCAATTCCAGACTTCACACTCACTCTAAACCAAACAATATCAAAAACATAGTTTAACAAAACACAACCAGGTTAATTAGCCAATCAATTTAGTAAAACAGATGTAACTAAATCCTTACTTCACAATTGGTGTAGACCAAACAAACAACAAAATGTTGTTCAGTAAATCGCACTGAGTTAATTAGGCTATCAAGATTTTAAAATAATAATTAGGCAGTAAACATATCAGTGATTTAGCAAATTTAAGTCCAGTGACATAATGTATGTACATAAGCCATGATGACAAGAATCAATCTAACCATGGAAAGTGAAGTTAAAGAATTTATTATTGTGTGCATGATTCTGAACAGATCCTTCAAGCAAGTTCATAAATGTTCATATTTAGTAATATTAAAGTATAGTTATCCAGAGGTGGGTTGTTGTTAACTTTAGCACTAGGACCTTTATCTAAATTCACACTACCTCTAATGTAACCTCCATGGAACTGTGGTGTGTATTTTTGTAATGAGGAAACCAAATGAACTCTCTTGTATTTATACAAATACAAAACAGTAGACAAAGCAAGTCAAAACAAACTAAGCTAAAACACAACAGGTAATTGAATGGACCTTGTACATTTTTCAATAAAAATCTATCTAATGACAAACCTGAAGATCCTATTATCAGTAAGCACATGGTATAAAAGAGGAACGTTTTTACCCATTATGAACAGTGACAGACCGATGGGTAATTAGGTGCTTCATCCAAAAGCAAGCAATTTGGCCCTCTGAAACCACTGGGCCAAAGACTGAGCTGTGGGTTGTATAAAGTAAGCAGCTCTAAAACAAAAAACTGTGACAAAAACCAAAACCAAAATTTAATAGTAATTAACACCCAAAATACAATGGATTATCACTTAGCATATCTCTGCCATCTAATCTAACTCACAAATAGGAAGAATGTAACAACTAATAAGCCTATAAAGAACCAAATTTCAGGATTAGACTCATACTTAATTCAAAATAACAACCAATCAATTAAAACCCAAAAGCATCGCCTAGCATCTCTTCCCTAAAAATAAATTAATCCCCTTGGATTATGATCTTCACAAAGAACATGTAAAATACATTTAATCACAAACTTTAGCAGCCTATTATCAGTAAAGAAGCAGCCAATCCCACTTCCCAAAACATGAGCAGAGGTTATAAGAAGAGGAACACTCTTACCCATCATGCGCAGCAGTAGACCAACAGGTAATTAGGTGATTCATCATAAAAAAAAACAAGCAGTTTGGTCCTCCCAAATCCATTGGTCAAAAGACTGAGCTGTTGAAAAACCCACAAAAGTGTGTATCAAACTAAGCTGTATAAAGTAATTATCTTAACAAGCAAATAACTGAAATTAGTTGCCATTTAATTCACTAATAATTGCCATTGAATATAAATAGCTCAAAATTAAAGTACCAATTTCTAAGGCCGAATTCATAGATACTTCAGAAGAGAGGACTAAGAAGTGTAGCAATTACCAGTTTGTAGCATGATCAAGCATCGAATTGATGCATCTGCAATCAGAAATGATGGGAAAATAGCTTTAAATTCCTAAATATTGCTACATGTTCAGCTTCTTAATAGTCAACCATTAATAAGCTTTGCAGAAATAAGTGATTTAATTTCCCACATTGTCGAAGTGAGTGAAGAAGAAGCTAATTATCAGATATTCATACGCGTGGTCAGCCAACCCTACACGTGGTCAATGAATGCCTCAATGATACATGTGGTCATGATATGTCTATTTTATATAATGATTTGCCCCCGTCTATTGGTCATAATTAGGAGTATTTTTGGCTCTTTAGAGCCACTTTTATTGCTAATGTGTGTTTTCTAGTGTTTTCGTAGTTTTGGTAGTGTTTTAAAAGAAATTGCATATTTGGAGCTTTTTGCCGAGATTATTTGAAGCAACTACGAGCATTGGAGGAGCACGACCATCTTTCATAGCCCAAGGCCGGTTAGAGTCATCAAACCGGTGATTAAGGGCTCGATATATGAGAAGCCAAGGCATTGGACCAAGAGATCAAGCCCCAAAGAAGAAATCCGGATTGGGCTAAAGAATTGAAGCCCAATCATTAGTCCAAGTTTGCCCAAATAGCCTCGCCCGATCGGGTGAGCCCTGGCCGAGGCGCACCCGACCGGGCGGGGCAGATGACCAAAGAAGCTGCTTCTCGCCCTGTTTCGCGCCCGACCGGACGTGAGAGATACATCATGGAAGAAAAAGGCGGGCCCGACTGGGCGAAGCTCTGCCCAACCGGGTGTGTGTCTTGAAGTTTGATTTTGATGATTTTACTTAGTTTCTAATTAGGATTTTTAGAAGCTTTGTATAAACACGTTCTTAGTTGTTTGATACAATTGTCTCTTCTTTTAGCTAAATCTCTCTTTCATTAGTTTAATTTTCTCTTAAGCTTAAACTTCTCTCTTGTTTCTCTCTCTAAAACTCTTGGTTTAATTCAATTTTATTATTTCCGTTAACTTTGGTAACAATTTCTTCCCTTTTTATTTCAGTAATTTTTTTGCTTTTGCTCATCATGTGGTTTTGCTTAATTGCTTTGATTAGTTTAGATTTAATTATGTGTGAGTAGATTATTTTCTAGGGTTGTGGGGATCCATAAATAATATGAAGGGGTAATTTATTATTGTTGATTGTCAATGCTTGATTAATTTCCTATTGATTGATTTAATGTTATGCAATTAAATTAAGCCTAGTTAAATTATATGAGTTTTGCAATATTGATTTGAGATTCGACAGATGAGAATTGATATTTAGCCTTAGTTTCAATAGGCGAGTAATTTATAAATGTTTAAGTCAAGATTAAAAAGATGCGATTTAATACCAGTAGATTAATTCTGTGATTGTAATACGTAGCGAAAGCTCTTTATGATATGATTAATAAATTCATTGATAATTGATTATTTTGTTTTACCCTGTAATATTATTTATTGGTGAACCTATACTCAAGGCTTTATTTATTTGATTTTCTCCTAAAACTTTAATCTTCGTAGTTTAATTCTTTTCATATCAATAAATTAGTTACCTAATAATTTAGATTATTTAATTTAATTAAGAATAAATTGACTCGTTTTCCTGTAGTTCGACCCTACTTCCCTATCTGCTTTAGTTAGAGGACTTAGGAATTACTTTTGATAAGGTGATACGACTTTAGTCTTTTAGGTCAGTGAATGCCTCAATGCTGCACATGGGTTTTTTTGGGGGGTAAATCAGGAAGACCACTGTAGATAAGGAAAAGCATGAACAAATGCAGGGGTAATATAGGAAGAACACTGTTCATAAGTTGTCCCATTTTTTGAGTGTCTTGGTGCTTTTATAGGTTAAGGGTGAATGAAACAACGGAAAGTGAACAGAAGTAAGAGAAGAGGAGTTGTGGCAATTTTAAAGGAGAGAGCAAGTTAAGTGTACAGTAAGAGTTACGTTCGTCATAAATGCTTGCTAATGTAGGTTACCATGCAACTACTAACTGTACCTTCAGGTTACAATGTAGAAAGTCATATATGCAAGGGCACACCATAGAAAAGTGAAACTTGAAAGGTCACTATAAAGAAAAACCCTTTATGTTTTGAATTTACATATTAAAACAAATCCAATAAGATTTCACACTATTTCATTATGTAAAATCACAAAAGAAAACCAAAGGAGAGTGTGAATAATGGTAAAGTCAAAATTTAACTAGTGACCCATATAGCTGAAAAGAATCAATGGAATTTCTATTACAAATGACTAAACTAGTATTAGTTGTAATTTAATTGATGTAGCATCTATAAGAGGCACCTCATAATTTTTACAAGCATAAAACTTTATAACCCATCACATGGACATGATATGATGAATGTCTGAGTAAGTGCAAAAAATTCATAAAGCATATACTACCTCCGGTCCACTTTACTAGCAACTTTGAGGGTGTTTGCGGAGGTCAAGGTAAAACTTTTAAGGGGTGAATTAGAAAAAATAAGGGTATGTAATTAGGAGATAAAATTGGAGGGAATAGTTATGGTCCCCTATTTGACTTTTTTTAACCCCTTGTACTTTTGTGAAAGTAGTGGGAAATTCCCACCCTTATTTCCTGGCAGCAAATGAAAGTAGTGGGAAATAATTTTCCCCAACTTGTTTGCCTCCCAAAATTTCCCCAAAATTCAAAATTTTGACCAATTTCCCCCAAAATTTAAATTTCTCCATTCAATTCAAACAAAATGCCTTATATAAAACCAGGGCTTCCCTTCCAATTCCCCATTTTCAAAAGACTAGTTTTAGGGGAATTGGGGAGGGGGAGGGGGAAGAATTAATTCAATTACTATCACATCAGAAATTAGTTTACTAAGGGCCTGTTCACATTTACTTAATTTCAGTTCAGTTCAGCTCCAATCAGTTCAGTTCAGCTTCAATCAGTTCAGTTCAGTTCAGCTCTTAATTTCCCTCTCTCATAAAATATTCATTTCAGCTCAATTCAGTTCAGTTCAGTTCAGTTCAGCTCCAATCAGTTCAGTTCAGCTCAGTTCAGTAAATGTGAACAAGCCCTAAATCCAAAATACAGGCAGTCCTAACAAATTACAACCATCTAAAAGTTGATTAGTTAAATCCTAATTCCTAAAGTTGTGTTAGTAGATGCAGCTTCATTAATTACAAGAATAGGCTCCGTTGAAGACTGTCCAAAAACCACCAGCCGCCACTTCATCACCAAAAAACAATCCTGAAAAATTTTTAAAAGAGAAGGGACTCATGGCAGAGTTCATACACGAACTTATGGATGAGTTAATTCAACAGGACCAGCTCATGGAACATGATTTGAACGAAGAACAATTCATCCAAGAAGAGTATCAATGGTCCTCAGATTTAGATCAGGAACAAGACTAACATCATGAAGATAATGATGCAGATGGCTATGATGCAGATGATGATGCAAACCAAGAAGAGCTACAACACAATTGCAGACCAACAAGAGAGATGACAGTAGAACAGAAAAGAGCAATTGTTGAGGAGATTATGTTGCACATGGAGGGGGACTCACTGCCTAGAGGCTTTTTAGCCAATTTGGCAAGAAAACATTCAGTGCACAAATCTACAACAATAAGATGGTTTCAGGTAATAAAACATTCTCTAGCACAAGGTATTGTTGTTGATGTGAATACAAAAAAATTAGGCAGGACAGTACAGGACGCAAAAGCAAAAGAATACACAGATGAGTTCCTAACATTTGTACCATTGTATAAAAGAACAACTGAAAGGGGATATGCTGCTGCACTGAAAATACCCAAAACAGCATTGCATAGGCTAAGGCAGCAAGGCAAGCTGAGAACACACACAAGCACAAATCACCCAGTATTGACAGAGAAGCACAAAGTGTCAAGACTTAAATGGGTTTTAAGTCTAATAAATCCTGTACCAGCAGTAGGGGACCTAACATTCACTGATATGCAACAATGGATACATTTAGATGAGAAATGGTTCTACATTAATCCAGAAACAAGAACCTTCTACCTACTTCCAACAGAAGATGATCCATACAAGGCTCAACAATCTAGGAGATTCAAGATCAAAGCAATGTTTATGGGAATGATAGGGAAGCCATTGTTTGATGATGAAAACAACATGATACATGATGGAAAATATGGCCTTTTTCCTTTTGTAAAGTATGAAAGAGCCAAAAAGAAAAGCAAGAACAGAGATGCAGGGACTCTAGAGACAAAGGCAATTCAAAGTGTCACAAAAGAGTACATAAGAAAGATGCTGCTAACACATGTCATTCCAACAATCTATGAAAAATGGCCACAACAGTTACCAAAGGACATCATCATACAATGGGATAATGCTAGGCCTCATCAGGTACCAAAGGATGAAGAATTTTAAGCAGCTTATCATGCACATGGGTTCAACATTCAATTCATTTTCCAACCAGCTCAGTCACCAGCAGAAACAAATGTTTTAGATTTAGGCTTGTTTAGTGTGATTCAATCATTACAATATCAATCATTTCCAAGGAATCTAGATGACTTAATCAAGGAAGTTGCTAGAGGTTTTCAAGAATTTGATCCTATACAAAACAAGTACACATGGATCACACTGCATGATAAAGATACTGGAAAAGCAAGGTGGTAATAACTTATATCCCCCACACATGAAGAAGAGAAGTTTGGACAGCCAAGGTCTACTACCACAACTACTTGAAGTAGACAGGGATCTCATTGCTCAGTAGTCCATTTTTTGGACACATTCACAATTACAGGAGATCGATGATGAAGGGCTCATGGAAGTAGATGCAGACTGATAAATGTGCATAACTTTTGGAAGGGTAGTATTAGGGGACTCAATATTGACTTCCACACATAACCTTTTCCTATTCAAACAACTTTTTGAGTTAGATTATGTGTAGGTTATGTGTACTTTTGGTAGATACAAATGGTTCATTTATTTGGCAGTCATGTAATCAGTCAAGCTCATATATTTTGATTAAACAAACATTTACAATTAAGTTTAATTGTGTCTTTGTTTAATTTTTAGAACCTATTATTTCCATCAAAATGGTTGTGTTTTCAGTCAAAGGTACCTCAACAAAAACCAGATTGACAAGGTTTTTGGAGCATCCAGACCACCCAAGTAGCTATCAGATGAGTCCCATCATCATATGGAAAACCAAAAGGGTTATGCATTATTAAAAAAGGGACTCAATGCATGACAGGCAGAATACAAGGGTCAAAACTGATCACTTCCATGCCAAGTAGGTCAAGGTTGACAAAACCAGGAGGGGACTCAATCTCAAGAACCAGAATAGACCAATCAACTTTAAATTCCACCTATGCAACAAACATATAGGAAAATTTCTATATTGTACAGGTCAATCACATAACATCTCCAACAAATGCAAACAACCTACATGTCTAAAAAATACCAGTTTTATCACAAACAGAAATCAACTTCTATCAAACACCAGCATCCCAAAACAGAAAGGCTAACAAAATTAACTATCCACAATCACTCCAACAGTCATGCATGAATTTCTCATGTAAGTAAATTCACACTCATGCAACAAAATGAACTACTCACACTAACCGCAGCAACAACCCAGCACACAACTTCAAAACAACAAATTGAACAGTACACGCACAAACAGAGAAGCTTATAAAAAAAATTAGGGTTTATAGAGTATACGCTGCGCATTCAATTACGAGGGGGGTTGAACTGAGGGTAGTAGATCTGCAGGTAAGCCTCAATGACTTCCTCCCTCGACATGCAGTCTGGAGGACCAGATTTGATGCATTTTGCGCCGGAGGAAGGCCCCTCGTCACGGTCTTGGGACTCCGGTGGCTTAACCACCTCAGCAACCTCTAGATCTACTGGGGTAGACTCCCCTGTAACAGATCCGGTGGCTGAAACATCAACCTTAGTCACTAAAGACCCAGAACCCCCAGCAGAAACAACCGCAGCAACCATGGAACCCTCACCACCAGCAACCACCTCAGACGGTGGTTCATCATGGGCCACAGCCTCAGAGACCACCACCTTCGGCGTCTCCTCATCGCTGTCATAGTCAGCGAGTTTTGCCCCCCGGATCCGCCTCCTCGCAATCACAGAAGCACGGCGAATGGGTTTCATGACACCCGTTCCACGCTGGGGTTTGTAGGTAACGCTACCAGATCGGCGGCTGGAAGCACTTGATTCAAGGGTTTCATGGCAAGTTAGATCTAGTTTTTTCTCAGTTGGAGAAGCCATTGACGGACCTCAAAATTGGAAACAGAGAAAGGATAAACACAGGAATTCAAAGAAAACAAACCAGGGAAGAGAGACAGAGAGAGGATGGGATTCGGCGAGTGAGGAGAGAGAAAATAACAAGTAGGGTTTATGTGGGAGAGATTTATTCTGGAGAATTCTCCCGAATAAATGAACTCCAACCAAATGAACTCCAACCAATTCATCAGATGAATTGAATGAGGAGCATTCAATTGAGGTAGTTAGAGAGTTGTTGAATTTGAAGGGTTGGGGTATAATTTTGGTGGGAATGATTAATTTAATTAATCAGTTTTCTATTTTAATCTGATAAGGTTAGTAGTTTAACAAAGTTGAATTATTATAAAGATAAGGGTAAAATGGTAAAATTCCATAAAAAAAAACTTTACTAAAAAAGGAAATAAATGGGAAAGTTGCAAATAATTTGGACCACCCCAAAAAGAAAATAGTTGCAAGTAAAGTGGACCAGAGGTAGTATTATGGTTAATAATACTCTATTTTATTTACAAATAATTAATGGCCCCTTTCAGGGATTTTAAAATGTAAATTTAGTTCACTTGCAGAATGCAAATACATTCCATTATTTATGTACACATACTGACAGCTAAGATACCATAAGTTCTGCATCATAAAACTAAGTAGTCTATCTGAATCTAGCCATGTCTAATCAGCATCCTGATTACTGGAGGCTTTAGAACAGTCCTCTTTGCGAAAATGTGACTGGAGTCCTATCCAGCATTGATAGTAATTGTTGTCGAGGAAGGGTGACTCAAGAGCCCAAGTGCAAACTCGAGGAATTAGATATGATTCAAACATGAATGCCAGGGTATCAGTAATTTTGTACGGTCCTGCATTCTCCCCACATGCAATGGTTGCCTGGAAGACATACAAATTTGTTAAGCTAAATGATGGGCAATAATAGCAGACTGATACATTATCTATCCAAAACTAAGTGCATTCAATCATAAAATCACCCAACTGTAGAAGAACCTTTATGTTTAACCTAACAAGTAAAGACTGAAAGAAAATAACAGGAAGTTACGACATAATCTCATGGACGGAAGTTTTTCAGTCAACTAACGACATACGTACATACCTCATAAGTCTTGGTATCAGGACCATGTGGAGTCATGCAGCTATGCAGGCTTGAACCACCCGGGATAAACCCATCAGCCTTTGCCTTCATGTGGTTCAATAAAATTGTCGATATGAAAGACGTGAGCACATAAGATTAGTGAGATATAACAGCCCAGAACAGACATAATAAAAGGTAAAGAACTTGAATATTCATTTTAGGAATGAAAGAGTAACAAGGAAAGACCCCTTCTAAACAAATATGAGTAAGAATCAGTACAAAAATCAATGGGCAATAAAATAGTAGCCAACTAGGGTAATATTTGTCAAAAAAAAACTAGGGTATTAAACTGAAGCCTGTAGCCAGCGACTTTTGAATGTAGGACACCATATTTATACTTGTTCATAACAATCTCCCATTCAAATGTAAATTCACACTCCCCCTTCAGTGACAAAAGTTTGAACAAGGCACCCAAATCCTAAACATAACTCCTAGGAAGAGGCTAGAACTAGTGGTGTGAGGCAAATCTCTTAGGTCATCATCAATAAAAGGGCCCTAGAGGCACAAGCCCAACAAAAACTACGTCCATGGTGTGAAAAAATACAGGTATATCACTTTTTTGACATGGTGGGGAAACAAGGGAGAGTGACAAGCCATAAATCCAAAACCAAAACTGACTGAAGTTCCATTACGAACAAATGAATAGGAGTAGGAAACCAGGGTTAACTGAAGGCTAGCCTTCAACTTTCAGTGCAGAACTACATACTGAATTCAATTAATATGAGCCACAGCTAAATTATCTACTATAAACTTTTTTGCTCTCACAAGCTTCCATTACTTGGGTTTTCACAATCAGGACAGTATATGCAGCATACTGAACCAGTTGAGAACCTAATAGAGTAAAGATATTAAGATATAGTGTGAACTGGAGAGTTAATACCTCATAATTACCATATATCAGTCCCATAAACTCGCTCATACAATTGCGATGATAATAAGGAGGGCGAAATGTGTGTTCCGCAACCAGCCACCTAGGAGGGAAAATGACAAAATCAAGTAAAGCCACACCAGGCTTATCTGTTGGGGCAGTAAGCACTGCAATGCAAGAGCAAGGCAACCAAATTGAGGTTAAAATTGGACTCATAGAAGTAGCTTGAGAGTTGAAACATTAAGAAAAGTGTACAATGGAAGAAATAGTTACCAACCTGTATTTACTGATGGGTCCCCGTGATCCACCAATACAGTATTATAGGGACAGAACTTGCTCAAATCATACTACAAGCAGAGCGTGTCAGTAATGTGAAATATAACCAGCTCAAGATATCAATTACTTTGCATAATCATAACACAGCGTTAAGCCAGAAATTCTTAGCTCGTAGTTTCGATGGTGCACGAATACAATATCATATACACAAATTAATAACCCACCTTATATGGGACATAGTTTCCATGCCAGGCAACTACATTGAAGGGAGAAAAATCCTGTTTGGCAGTAAATAATTCCCCACCATATTTTTGAACAATTATGTAATTTGGATAGGGAGTTTCCTCAAAACAAGCAACGGGAACAAGGAAATCTCTTGCAGCAGCTAGACCATTGGCACCTACAAGCAAACAAAAATGCCAAAGCTTTGATGGTACCTAATCTTCAAATGTATATAGGTGCACGGTTTTTCACCAATATCATAAAGCTTTAATACCTATAGGGCCTAGATCTGGAAGCTGGAAATGTGTCCCAAATATCTCAGAAACATAACCTCGTGATGGACCATCAGGCAAGCTGACAGCAAAACGAAATCCTTGAGGCACTACAGCAACTTCACCAGGAATAACTTCTAATCTTCCACACTCCGTCATGATCCATAGCCCTGGTAAGTACGTAAACTCTTAAAAGTTGCACCTCAATGATATTTTGAAAGCACCAAGGAAATTCATGTTGTGTAACAGAAGACACCTTTGTTTTCCATAATTCATCTCACTTCAATGAATATAGAATGTTCATTCTTCAAATCCTAAGAAACCCTAAGCAGGTTTTTTCTTGATAAAATTGACTTAAAATAACTGAAACGTCTCTGGACAAGCATCTATAATACAGCAATAAAGCATGATTTAGGCTTTGTTTTTTCCCCTGAAATTACATTTTTCTTAAATATAGCTAAGCAATTTTTTCCTCAATTTATTGTCCAATATATGAGCTATTTTTAGTAACAGGTAAAACTAACAGCTATTATTATATCAGAAATTTTCCTAGCATAATTTTTTGAGGCAAAAACAACAAGACCTTAATGTAATATGATCATGTGTGAACCGCAAATCAAACAATGATGCATGAACAGAGAAAAGTTAAAAAAAAAAAAAAAAAAAGGGCACGCACTCCCTTTCTGAGGAACGAATAAGAAGTCTCCGTCAGCATTGCAGAAGGCACAGTTATCCATTGATTTGTTAGCAGTGTACCTACATAAGCAATT